CTGCTGAGTATTTTGATGTCCAAAGAAGAAAAGGGTAACCTATTTAGCAAGGGACACTTATGCATTACACTGAAAAGTACACTCACTTTTCAGCTACTTGGTCCATTTTTGAATGCAGCTTGCAGCCTTTTCTCTCTCTTTGGGCTGTTGAAAACCTTGCTAAATCAGCTGTCAAGCTCCCTGATGCAGTGCCCATCCAGAACACTCTGGCTGCAACACACTCCAGCACCCTCCTCCTTTCATCACACCTTTTGGGTGCACCTCCTAGCTCCTCTTTCCCATTGCTTCAAATCTGAGCCCAAGAGCACTTCCAAGAGGCCATGGAGGATACATTCAAAAGGAAGAAACCAAGGCTAGATATTATGTCTGGAAACCACAGCAGCACAATGGAAAGCAACAGGTAGCAATACATCCCATCAAGTGATCTGAGAAATGGCTTCACTGACTAGCATAGCACCACAGCTATACACATACACAGGTCTGTTCCTCCCCCTGCCTAGGACTGTGTGGGGATTCAAACTCCCACCCGCATTCTTCTACAAATGCATAAATGTCAGCTGTCAACCACAGTGACACAGAGAGCAGGACTAGGAGTCATGACCTGCTGAATACCTTGTATAAGTGAAAGGTGGGACATACACAATGAAGATCAGTTGAAAGCAGCATTTGTGCTGGAAGAGCTTTGCTGGTGAAGAGCAAGGGCTTGCAGGAAACGTGGTGCCCTCAAGAGTTTTTGGGATGGTGTTTACTGGGGCTGTGACTCCAGCACTTTCCAAACGCCCACCATATCTGCAGCATATACCAAAATGAGGGGCTCTAACCCGAGGAGTCCTGCTGGGAAGTTGCTTCAGGAACAGGCTCAAAGGTCAGTGTTGGCTCAAAATTTAGGGGTGGACATACCAACATAAAACAGGATTCACAGGATGAACTCCTTACGAGTATGGTACAATCTGATCTAAATTACTCTAATGATGTCTAGGACCTCACTTGCTTCAGCTCTGATACCTATGGAAGAATACTCACAATGAATGGCAAAGCAACAGGTCATCAGCAAGTACTTATATTGCATTGCTTTCTGCTTAGTTATAGGGAAAGTCACATGCATAAAATAAGACTTTTAGAGACCATGGAGGTTGAGCCAAGGCAAAACCTTGCAGAAGGAAAATGGTCATCGCTAGTGAGCATTTCACAGTCCTAAATGTTACAGGGGACTTTTTAAATTAGAGACTGTACTGGCAGAAGTAGGAGATGCCTTCTGCATGTCCTCTACACAGCTCATGATGATGCAATAAAAATTCTGTATTGTCTAAAAAGTAGCTGGCAAAACTAAGATAGCACATGGCAAACAACAAATAAACAAATAAAGTCTCACCTAAACACAGCACGCAAAAAGAGAAAGCTGAGCCAAATCTATACATGCTTCTGAGCCAGTGCTGCAACAGTAATTAATGAGAAGAGAATCTAGATGCCTGATTTTAATGGATACTGACATAATAGGTGTACCAGAAATTTGATGGGAGAAAGATAATTAGTGGGACAATAGTGTCTTGGTACTGATCACACTGAAAGACAAAGCAGATGTCGTGTACTAAA